GAACGCACCCAATTGCTCTGCGGACGGAGAGGTTCGGTCCTCGGGTCGTCTCACCGAGGTCGGCCTCTCAGGACGACCTTGCCCGGACGGTCCGGGCGAGGCGAAACGGGAGTCTTCGACGAGCACGATCCGCGAGTGTAACTCGTCGATCAGTGCTCGGAGATTCTCTAAGGACTGCGTCACTCTATCGAACCTCCCTTCACGCAGGGAGCGGAGTTCGGCCATACATCGAGTGTATACATGGTCCGATACATCGATCCGAAGGGAAGTACGGACTTCCTCGATGTATTCGGCTATGCGTTCGAACATCGCCGCCGCTCTTTCCTCGGAGGAACCGAGCGACGGTTCGCGGTCACGAGGACCTGCGTCGCCGTCGCCCGACGGGGCGGATGGGGACTGCACAGCGGCCGGACTCAGATCCGCCGCTTCGGAGCGGATCGAGGGCTCAAACTCTTGGCTCATCTCGACGCGACCGGTTCGCGGAGGGAAGCGGAAGTCTTCTCGGAGATCGGACTCCAGGGTCTTCTAGGTCGGGAGACCACTGTAGCATAAACACCCCCAACGGAGAGGGGGTGTATGCACAGCTCGACGTAGACCCCGTCCGAACGGGAAGACGGGGGTGAAGCGGGACACCAGCTAACGGCACCGGGCAGCGGGCCCGGGTAGCGTGGTAGAGCGGGAACGCAGAGGACGCCGGTACGCGCGGGCGGTTCGACGCCTCGACGCCCCGGCGCGGTACTGGGTAACGATCCAGTACCGACGGGCGGAGGCGGAGCCGACTCGTGGGCGTACCGCGCGCGTCCTCAACTCGCGCTCGGTGCCGCTCTAAGGTAGTTAGCGAGCGCTACCTTAGAATAAGCGGGAAGTCGGACCTTGACGGTCGGTGGGTGACAAGTCCGTGCTTGTCTTCCTCCACCGCCGCCGGTCCGCTCCATATTTAATGTACATAATAACCTATCATAATAGTACAGTACCGATGTACTGTAGCGACGTACTGTAGCGGTCGGTCGACACTGTAATACTGTCAGCCATCGGGGCTGACAGTACACGTGTGCGTGTGCGCTCTTCGGTCCCGCGCGTACACGTGTACACGTGCGCCCCCTGTACTCGGGGGTACACGTAGTGGTACTGTAGAGCATCGAGCTCTACAGTAACCGATCCGATTCGGAGTTGATCTAATCTAAAATAAAGCCCCAGGGGGGGGTTATACTACAACCCCTCGAAAACGTACCGGTACAACACCTCTCGAAACGTACCTGTACATCACCCCTCAAAAACGTACCTGTGCAGCACCCCTCGAAAACGTAGCGGGAGGGGGGGCACCTCTCTAAAACGTACCTGTACAGTACACCTCGAAAACGTACCGGCACAGCACCCCTGAAAAATGTACCTGTGCAGCACCTCTCGAAAACGTACCCATGCAGCATCTTCGAAAACGGACCTGTGCGGCACCCCTCGAAAACGTACCCGTGCAGCATCTTCGAAAACGGACCTGTGCGGCACCCCTCCAAAACGTACCTGTGCAGCACCTCTCGAAAACGTACCTGTACAGCACCCCTCGAAATTGTACCTGTGCAGCACCTCTCGAAAACGTACCTGTACAGCACCCCTCGAAATTGTACCTGTGCAGCACCCCCCGAAAACGTACCGGCACAACACCCCTCGAAAACGTACTTGTGCCGCACTCTCGAAAACGTACCCGGACAGCATCCCTCGAAAACGTACTTGTGCAGCACACGGCGAAAACGTACCTGTGCAGCACCAATATGAGAATATGATAACCAGTAATTGGCAATTATGCACTACTCGTAAAATGGTGCGTTTTTGAAGGTTGTTGAATGGAAGCGTGTCTTGCCGCTGATGGTTGAGCTGGAAAGCAGTGGCCAAAACTACGCGAGTTGCGCTGTTTTGATAGTGCCTGGCTTTTGAATGTCTTCGAATGAGCAAGTCTAGCAGTTTATTCAATTAAACAGTTCGATTCAGTGGTGAGGAAACGGACGTTTTAGCAATTAGGTCGGGAATAGTTATAGTTAGTCTGTATCCGCGTACAGTAGTTTCACGATAAGACGAACCCCTGATGAGGGCAAAATCGCGATAAAAGAATCCGGGAACGGTCCCCCGGTGTCGGAGACCGCCACAAATAAACAAAAAATAGCCTCAGTTCCGTTCACGATAAGCGAAACCGCTTGAACGGATCAAAACATATCTAGAAAACCGTTACAACATTGAGGACTAAGACAAAACACCATATAAACCGCCCTACTGCAGTCCGGACTCTTGAATTTACTAAGCGCTTCTTTTGTTTTTTTCTCACACCGTCCGTCATCGCAATTCATTTTCCAGACCACAAAAATGGGTTACACAATGAACCTTCTGCAGAAAAGAAAGGTTGTCGCTGAGATAGAGCGGCCACAAAAAGCAGGACTCAATGCTTCGCAGCGTGCTCTTGCTGCATGGGCCCACAACGAAATTAAAATCCCATCTTTGCCGAGTAAAGCCGCTATGTCTCGCCTTTTTGCGCAACAAGAGAGCCTCTCTGCCCTACCATGCCGCCACCCCTTTAAAGTTAAACGTTTAAAGCAAGGCAAAAATCACGCGGCTGAACAAGCACTATTCGAGTGGATATGTGTGCAACAAAATCGACGCGTCAATATTAATGGAAATTATTCGTGAGAAAGCCAAACGACTGCAACAACTCAATAATGAGAGACGCTCCGACGACCTCAAAAGCTCTCTTAAATTTTCGCTGGGGTGACTTGATAATTTTAAGCGCCGCTGGAATCTACGCTCGTTTAAATCATACAGGGAATCGGTAGACGCTGATGAACATGCAATGCAGGATGCGCTCCCTAAGATAAAGGACATCATTAGTTCTTATGGCAGAACGGACATATTTAATGCTGATGAGTGCGGCTTATTTTATTCTATGCCACTGGACCGTACTGTGGCATTGGAACCTCTCCGGGGGCCCAAAAAAGCCAAAAATCGCATCACGTTTATGATATGCGCCAATGCAGATGGGTCAGATAAATACGAGCTCATGATAATTGGGTCATCTAAAAACCCGCGTATGTTTAAAAAAAATCTGGCCTTGAGCTTGGCTTCGATTACCATTCTAACAAGAAGGCATGGATGACGACTTTTTTTTATAGAATGGCTTCAACGCTTTCAAACATTCGTGGCTAAAGATCCAGAGCGCAAAGTGGTTTTGCTCATCGATAACTGCAGCGCACATGCTACAGTTGAGACGCTGCCGTCTCTACCTAATGTTCGCGTGATCTATTTACCTCCCAACTGCACGTCAAAAATTCAACCTATGGACGCTGGGGTAATTGCAGCACTCAAAGTAAGGTATAAACGCATGCATATGGAACGAGCTTCGGACAATGTCGACGCAGAGGTTAAAAATATACAAGGTGGATGTTCTTACAGCCATGATATGGTTCAAAAGGGCATGGGAAGAGCTTCCTAGTGATGTAATTGCTAATTGTTGGAGGCACTGTGGTTTGATTTCCGCTGTGGAAGATGTTGCTATAGAATCAAGGGAACGGGTGTTATTATCAGGCCTTGAAAGCCAGATCGGGGAGTTAGTTACACAGAGGCGGCGGCTTAGTGTTGCCGATTTATTGAATCCGGAAGAGGAGGATGACTGCATACAGTGTGTAGGTAATCAAGAGCTAATTGATTCAGCAATAGCAGATGATCCACCAGAGGAGGAGGGGCTTGAAGATCGAGACGCCCTTCCTGGAAGTGCAGAACAGCTGCGGGCGCTGGGGCTGACGAAAAGGATTGCGACATGTGCGGGTTTCGATAATTTCGCTTTTTTGTGCGCGATGCGTAATTTGCAACGGTTCGTCCGGTTGGAGGCGGATCAGGGCGCGAAACAGACCACCATTGATATGTTTTTCAATTAAATTTTAGTCGAATGTTGTAATTGGCTGAGAATCATCGGTATGATAAGCTTTGATAACGGGAACCCCGCGATAAAAGGAACCGGACCCCTTCTCCCAACTCGTTCCTTTTATCGCGAAACTACTGTAACATATTTTTGGTGTAATTGTTTTGGGTGTAATTATTATTAGGAACAGTAACACGTGTACAGTACAGTAGTGCATTCGTAATCTCCGCGATGGTCTTCTCCTTCAGCCGGAGAGGAAGTCAGGGAAAGGGAGGACGCAGCAGGACGGCAGAGTTGCGGGCGAGTCTTCGACATCTGTGGCCAACGTCGACTCGGTGTTAATCGAAAACACTCATCTGTACGCTAACGGTACTCCGTTTCCATAAAAGGCAAAGTAGCCGACTTTCCTTACCCCCTTACCCGAATCCATCGGTCGCCCAGTTTAGCCCATCCCTCAGTCGGCCTCCGACAGCTCCGCCGCACCGGCTTACCACCCGCCTCGAAGATCCATCACACCGCGTTCACACCGCTTTCACACCGAATGGCAACACGCCCGCCGACGCCCGCCAAAACCGGGTCCCCTCCCACAGATCCTTTTCGGGGAATATAAATATTTCCTACATCCCACGCCCGCCGCCCCCACGCACCATCTTTGTCTACATGGCTCCGTGGCTCACTGCCTGCCGCATCGCTTTCGCCGTTTCGCTGCCAACTCAGCGCGCGCGTCACGTGCTGCGACCCACATGCCGCGCGCTGCCGCGGCGGCGCGTGGCGCTGCGCGCCTGCGTTACGCAGCAAAGTATCGCCCCCGCGCTCGCGGTGCTGCGCCGCGCCGCCGACTCGCAGCGCCTGGACGTGGCGCGGCTCAACTCCCTCGTGCGCCTGGCGGATCTGTTGTTGAGCGAGAGCAAGCGGTACAACCTCACGGCGATCCGCACGCGCGATGCCGTGCTGCTCAAGCACATCGTGGACGCGCTGAGCCTGCTACCGGCGCTGGACGCGGAGGCCGCTGCCGCGCCCGGCGCGCTGCGTGTCGTCGACGTCGGCACGGGTGCGGGGTTCCCAGGGCTCGTCCTCGCCATCACGAGACCGCAGTGGGACGTCACGCTGCTCGAGGCCGCGCGCAAGAAGACACGCTTCCACGACATTGTGGAGCGCGAGCCCTGCGCAACGTCACGTCCGTGTGGGGGAGGGCAGAGGAGATCGGGCAGAGTAAGATGCATCGGGGGCGGTATGACGCGGCCGTGGCACGGTCGTTGGCGGAAATGCGTGTTTGCTGTGAACTGTGCGTGCCGCTGGCAAAGGTGGGGGCGTGTTTTTCGTGCAGAAGAGCGTGGGCGCGGGCGCCGAGGAGATCGCCGCCGCGAAGGAGGCCATGAGAAGGCTGGGCGGGAAGCTGGAAGGTGTGCACAAGGCGTGGCTGTGGGAATGGATGCACGGGCAGGGGGAAGAGGCGGAAGAGATTGACAGAAGAAAGAAGTGTATTGTGGGCGTAAGAAAGGTGAAGGCAACGCCACGGGCGTTTCCGAGGTTGCCGGGGGTGCCGAAGAAGACGCCTTCGCGAGACCGCGAATAGGTTTGCGAAGAGAGAAGGGCGTCGGGAGACCGGAGAGAGGAAATATGTTGATTGAGAGATGTGTCAGGGAATAGGAGCACATGGGTGAAAAGCACACCGAACATTGCAAGGGGCGTACATGGACGTCTTGCGAGAAGAAGAGCGCAGGCATGTCGCGAAATGCACAGTTCGCTGTGGCAATGTGACATACGAAGAAGTTGCAGAGCGGCCCCGATCGCGAGTTTTAACGCCATTGAGAATTGGTTTATCTCGAGACATTGAGCAAGGTTTCTTAACGATGAGAATGGTTTTTGTGCTCAGCGGACACAACATCGCATTCCACACGCCCAGAGGCAGCAATGCATGCGCCGGTGCAAATTGCAAATGTGAACGACTCTTCGGGCGTCCCTCTCAGCTGGCATCTAACTATCTTCGGGTATCTTTTTACTATGTTCGTCGAGTACAGGTGAAATGACTGCACGGTACAGTATGTGCCTTAGAGAATAACGAATCGTAACACTCTGAGCTTCAGGAAGACGCCTCAAATGCCGCGTTGGTCACCATCAAAGCCCTCATCGAGAAGCCATATAGCCGCCCTCAAATACGCGGCGCAGGGTACTTGTGCCAACCTCTGACGCCCCTGGCATGAAAACCACGGAATCAAGATACCTAGCCTTTGGCGGCCTAGAATGACAATCCACTTCAGCGCACCTTATTGCAAGAGCTCCTTCCACTGTAGGGCTGGCGGTAGCCGGGCGGGCACTTTTTGCATGTCGCCCTACTAGTTGCACCTGCCCTGTCTCCATATGATTCGGGCGGACACTCAAAGCAGCTTCTCTTTCCAGCATTTGGCTGATAGTCTCCTTGAGAGCATGTATAGCAGGAGCTTCGTCCGCTGTAGTTTTGGTACGTTCCAGGCGCACACTTATTGCACGTTGCCCGACTAGTCGCGCCTGCTTTCCTCCCATACGATCCGGGCGGACATTCAAAGCAGCTTCTCTTTCCTGCCTTTGGTTGATAGTCTCCTTGAGAGCACGTATAGCAGGAGCTTCGTCCGCTGTAGTTTTGATACGTTCCAGGCGCACACTTCTTGCACGTCGTCCTACTAGTTGCACCTGCCCTGCTGCCATACGATCCAGGCGGACATTCAAAGCAGCTTCTCTTTCCTGCCTTTGGTTGATAGTCTCCTTGAGAGCACGTATAGCAGGAGCTTCGTCCGCTGTAGTTTTGATACGTTCCAGGCGCACACTTTTTGCATGTAGCCGCGCTAGTTGCGCCTTCCCATCTCCCAAACGACCCGGACGGACATTCACGACAACTTGTCTTGCCTGTTTCTGGTTGATAGTCCCCCTGGCGACAGGTGTAGCAGGAGCTTCGTCCACCGTAGCTTTGGTAGGTACCCTTAGGACAAACCAAACATGACTTCTTTCCTGTATCAGGTTGGAAGCTGCCGGCGGGGCAGTCCCTGCAAGGCTCTGCCCCAGTCGAGCTTACAGTTCCTGGAGGGCAGAGGTCTCGGGCATTGGCGCCATGCCACAGAGGAAGCAAGAAAAGCAGGACGTATAATGTCGTACTGGTCATTCTGGTAGAGAGGGCCATGTCTGGATTGAGATGTGCAGTGGTGGTGTGAATGATCTTTGAGGGAGGTGTCGATGTAGATCGGATGGCAACTGAAGAATGTGGCGTCTTGCTCACACCAAGTGAAGAGGGAGTGAAAGCGGAGCAAGGCGCGGCTCTTATGTATTGCTAGCAGTGCTGTGCGTTACTTTTTGTTTCTGCGAAGTCTTCGCGCCGCCAGCCCATTAACACATGCTGGCCCTTACGGCCTAGACGTGCTGTACCTCGTTGATTCTCTGCCCCACGAGGACTTCACATGTGTTCAAGTGGCGAGTGCCAGGCCTGATGTCAGGATTGTCAACAATCCTCTAACTCCCTAATGGTCGGGGGTATGTCCCAGCGAAGATATGCCCCGAGTACGAGTACAATACTTGGCTATGTACGCACTGTGTGTCGCCTCCTTCAGCCTCACTTGGTCTCCTGCTGGCAGTGCGCCCAGAGATTAGGCATCTAAGATTTGGAAACCATGCAGGATAATCATGTAATGGTCTTCAGTTGGTAAGAAGCCATTTAATTCTGAATGCGTAAGCTCCCTATTATACACAAATTTTGTAAGCAATTCAAGGGCTACAGAAAAAGGCAGGGCAGAGAGTACAGACGACGACTGATGGATGCATTGCGTACTTTCTTGATACTGTACGTAGGTGCAATTGCAAAATGGATACGGTGTGGCACGAATACTGTACTTTCGTACTTGTACAGTAACTGTAATCAACTGAAGGCGGTGAGCTGCATTTTTGCGACGTGAGATGGAGGAAATCACGATGGAGCCTCCTCCGTTCCCATCGATGTCCCTTATCCCTCTTCCCGCCATGCTCGCTCCTGCGACCCCATCCTATTGTTGTCTCTGCTCTGGGAATGGCGTGGTGTGGTATAGACGTACTGTAACACCACATGCCAACCTGGCGCATCGTCACTCTGGTGAAGCGCGTCTTCACGCCAGGCACATAAAGCTTTAACATGTCCGCCAGGCTACGCAGAGTCTAGATGGCACGTGTCCTTATTTGAGGTTGCTTTCATGATAAGAAAAGAAAGATACCCTCTCCATAACACATGGCTCCCGCGAAGCGAATGTATGGACAAAAAAAGTAGAGAGCTTACCCAGCACGATTACCCAGCACGATTTTTACAGGGTTTAGGAAAGAAGCAGTCACAGAATTCTGAAATTCAAACGTGAAGAAGAGTGCGTCGTTGTGGATGGTTCTCGCTAAGTCTCAACAAATACATTGCTCAAGCGACGTAAGAGTTTACCGTAAGCAATGCCGTAGCAATTCCTTTGCTGTGCAGCGAAGATAGGACGTCGCTGAGTCCGACTGCATCCTGCAGTCATGCAGTACAACTAACCCGAAGTACAGTACCTTTGTTCTCCTGAGATGAAATGCGTTCAGCGTCAATCTACAGATCTCTTTAGTGTCTGCTTAACTGTACAAGTACTGTACAATACTTCTGGTGTGGCATATAAAGGCTTATGTTTCGTGCCATTACTCTAGGAGGTGCACGCACAGCCAACACTGCTTTCATCCATCCCCGGACTCTCTTGGTCCTGACGTGATCTCTCAGGTCTGAGAAGCTGCCAGTTGCACATATCTAATGGGTGTACTAGACCACTAGACCTTTGTCTGTAACTGAGACAAAGGCCTACTAGACCTTTGTCTCAGTTACAGACATACAGCGAAGTTAGTAGATCTTTTACAAATACCCTCACCGAATAGTGGACCTTTGTCACTGTTAGAAGAGCATTGTCGACAAAATTGTTCGCAAATACAGTAGGCCCAACACACCTAAAACTATCCCGTGTACAATACCGTAGGATGCCAAATTCTGCGGCCGTATAAACCTGGTTAATTGACTTGGAAACCGTTTGCAGAATATTTGTATGACATACCTGCATTTATGGGTTTTGGCAAGTAAACTTTAAATTGGTAATTCATCCGCCTGTCCTCGGCTATGAACTGTGATGCAAAGAACACCGATGCCTCCCTCCTCCTGTGGAGAGGGGGCCGACTGTGGCTTTCATGTGTGCGTGTCTGATGTGCCCTAACAGCAGTGCCTCATCTACTGTGCTTTCATAGCCCTGCATGGAACCACATGGCCAAACTGTGGAGCGGTTGCAGTATCAATTCGCTTCATATCTTCCACGAACTAAAGCGATGACTTCCACAATGATGTTGGCATATGCCGACAACGCTGATAAAGTCGCAAAACCGTTGCAAGAGATCTCTCTAAAATCCACTGGTGAATGGGCACTCACCCTATAACATCCGTTGACACTCTCAGGGCAGTCTCACATATAAACTGGTTCCATCTCTTAAATGCGTTCTCAAGTTGTGACTCTGCCAGTCGTAAACAAGACATTGAGCAAAAACAAAACCATTCACGCAAGAAATAAAAACATCCTGTCGACTCAACCTGCCCTGCTTTGTGCCAATATTCCGACGTCTGCTTGCCTAGCATCTTCTCCCAGTCTTTCAAATGGAGCTCCACAACCCATCTCATCGACCTTCAGCGCCTCTGCCAGCTTTTCCAGAATCATCCTCTCCTGCTTCGCAACCTCCCCCATCCGCCGTTGTCACCTTTACCGCCGCCTCAATGAGCAACTGCTTCTCAATGTCTCCCAAGTGCCTTTCCTGCTCTCTCACTTTTCCCAGCATATCGTCCAGCGCCCTCTTCTTCATGTATTTGGAAATGCTTTCCAGTTCTTTTCCACCCGCGTCCGCGGGAGTTCCGCACTCATAACGCCCCTGCACGCATCTTGCCACTCGGCGATTTCACTCTCATTGACATTCCCATCCTCCATTGCTACGCACAAACATACTTCGACTAGCGAGTTGTCAAAATCTTGCGTTTGCTTGCCTCCGGCCTGAACGGCCCAAGGGTAGTCGAGAGATGTTGCGCTGCCGCGAGAAATCGCAGCTGAATCGAGGGTCAAGCTCGCACCTGATTGACGGAGCGGACATGCTGTCGAAGGAATGGAATGTGAACAGGTCTACCAGCTACTTCGAGCGGGGGCGTGCATGAGCAGGGCTAAAGGCATCTGCTTCGATTACGCTCCCGCCTGGAGGTCAGGGTTCGGGGCGGCCAGGAGTATGGCTGGGTGTATCAGTTTCGGTACGGACCGGGATTGGGACACCACCACGCCCGTGGACGTGTTGTTGCTCCTGCAACTCCGCGCGCACCCTAGGTTTGCGCTTGGCAACATGTCTCGCGACGACATAAGCGACGACTACCCTGCGGCCGGAACCTAACCGGCACGTCGTGGGCCCCGGGTGATATGACGCTGAACAGCATCGCCGCAAACGTGGGGGCGGCGACAACGCTGTAGCATTTCGAGGGCTGCGACGGCGTGCGCGACATGTTCGCGGTCGCAGCGCTGGGGCCGGAGGTTGAGGCCGCGGGTGCTGGGATGTGCGGGTTTGCGATGGAGTCGGATGTCGAGGGAGCGTGGTGTTCGTCGAGGAGATGCAAAAAATGGCGGCATGCGGATGGATGAAATGGACACGGTGGGGGGAAGAGGCAAGTCGGGCGGATGTCATCGGTTTCTACGGGTTAGCTCATTTCTGAGGTTGCGTTCAAAACGCGTACGGCCTGCGAAGGTGGTCCGGTGGTTCCACAGGGCACTCTAAACGGGGGACTAATGAGTCCAAAAAAGTGGAGGTACTTTGACATTTGGCAGCTCTCAAGTCTGGACCGCTACAGGGAGTTGTGATTCTGTTCCTCACCTTCACAAATGGAAAAAGCCGCCTCTGGTAATACGTACATACGGGTACTGTATGAGTCAATGTTGACTCATACAGTATGTACGTATTACAGCACAGCAGAGTACATGATTGTCAACAGTCATGTACTCTGCTGTGCTGTACACTGTACCACTCTGCTGTACCGTTGTCAAGTTGTTTGCGTGTACCGTACCCTTCGAGGGTACCGTGCCCTTGGGAAGGGTACTGTACACGTATAGAAGATCCCGTAATGCTATTGTTGTAAAATCGTTGCTTGTCATACCAACGGAAATCGTATGTTGGTATGGCTGACTCCCTTCTGTCTACAGTAAGGCTGGTCGTGTCCGTGGTCGTTGCGATGTATTCAGCACTTGGCTGGCGTGTTTCGGTCTGCTCTACCCACTGCCCGGACTCTTTTCTTTGGACTATCGTACTCTACAGTCGGTGACAACTCGCAAAATATGCTGCATTTTGACATTTATGATAAAATTTAACATTGCCGTCGACCTCGCCAAAGTGGCCACTTTCCACGCCAAGGTCCACTTTTTCCTGGCACCTCGGGCTTATAGGACGGCTACGTCCCATTTACCTCTCCCAGCCCTGCGGCGTGCCGCACACCAGGATCGAGTCAATGACTGCCAATCAACGAACGTGATAACCGCGCAGCAAGGGTTTTCGTCTCCTAATGGAGACAGAGCGCAAGGTTGAAGCAGACCCGACCGGTAGCGCCACAAGGACCAGTCCACCGTGATTCGCGTGTAAGACATGTAACTTGAAGACTCCAAGCCTTTCAGTCCGATTATCCATATCGCAGTTACTAATGCGGGCCAATGTTGACACGGGGGACCGTTTAAACCCCTTTGCCAGACTTGACAAGTCTCGACAAAATGTAATTCACCTGTGCACATATTGCAGAGACAACACAATTGGCTGGAAAGTCATTTCGAACCCCAGAAAGTATAGTCCCTCAGCAGCGGCTAGGGCCCTCAAACGATGGTCATCGAGATTGAAGACAGAAGTCAAGAGCTCCATCAATCACATCTGTTTTATTTGTTCGACAATGGAAAAAGGAGCGGAGACGGAGATTCAGAACTCCACCGAGGATCGTAGACCAAAGCGCAGTCCGACAGTGGATTGGACACTGTTCAATGTCTGCGGAGCTTCGAAAGAAACGCGCGAAATATTCACGGATGAGTTTAAACGCCTATCCGACTGCAGCGCTGTAACTAATGGAACTTTACTTAACAATCCCTCAGGGCACCGTCTGTGCTATCTTCACCTGAACTACAGTAGATATTCCCAGCACAAAGTTAAAGAATTGGACAAGTCCAGTCTGGGATCCCAACGGGGGCTTTGTATCTTCAGGGGTACTGGTTGTTCAGGGGAATGCAGACGACTTCGAAAGCTTCCTGTCGTGGACAGTGGCAATATTGACAAAATTGCAAAGTACCTTCGCCTGGATGAAAACATTTTATTGCAAAGCGACAACACGCTGAACGCAGACCAAGTCATGCGGAAATACGCGTGCACTGGTTGCAGGTACAGCATAACGGATGGACAGAGAGAATATATTCCAAATGTATCATTTGCAAGTATAGAAAGCTCATTGGATATTTGGCTGCTTCGCTGTGTCTTGTACGCTTTGGAAGTTGACGTATCGAAAAACGACATTGCATTGTTCAAACGGGAGGACGTTAGGGGCCTCACAAATATTGCCAGTTCCTTGCGGCAGTCCTCCGTAGTTTCAGATACATATCCCCCTGTTCGTATGCTCCGTTTTCCTGACGTCTCAAGAGGCCGGAAGGCTCTGTTAGCTGCGTATGAGCACCAGTCATCTTATTGATTTGGAAATGCCTACCTGTTTGATACACAATGACACGACTGATGGGAACTTAAACAGGAAGGGCGCCGATGAGGGTCCAAGGGTCTGGTTTTTCGACTTTGACAGCTCTTTCACAGGCCATCCTTTGCTTGATGTTGACTGGGACAACCGGGATATCCTAGAGGTTTATGCACAGGAAATAGACATAGCTGACGTTGACGGATTGTTTTGGTTGATTAGGAAAGTATTCTTCATGTTGCGCCGCTCGTAAAAGCATACAGATACTTGAACATGGTTAGGGAAGTGGAAGACGGTGCTCCCCGGGAAGACGCCCTTCACTGGCTAGAGGACAGTGTTCGTTCCTTGCTGCTGTGACCGAAGAAGGAAATGGTGACCACTTATTTTTGGGCTGAGTTGACGGGTACGACGGTGCAGTCTGAGACAAGCCGCTTTGCGCATGGCATCAGCAATATACGCTTTACACATGAGTACAAAAGAAGCTGCAAAAGTTTTAGCAGGAGCATCATAGTCAGGACGCCAGTAGAGGAGCCATTAATGTCCTCATAGCCGGGTGATGCATGCAAAACAAGAACTGAGTTGTTGTTTTGCATGCATCATCCGGCTTTATGAAACGTTTGTCCGTCTTCTGACAACGAGACGTACGCACACTGCGGTGCGTGGGCTCTACAATCTATTAGCTTTTTTCCCTGGCAACGATGAGCATGTATCTGTTGTGAAATCCAGGGGGGGAAGATACAAAAGTATTCTTCCAGTGTTTGTGACAATATCCAAAGGATGGTCGTCTCGCGCAGAAGCGCACGGGGTCTCGCGTACGAACGCGGTAGCAAATTCTTGCCAAAGAATATCGTGAATACTCACAGTTGGTGATTTATTACGTGCCCTTTCTTCTTCTTTTCCTCGCTCTACAAAGCGGTAGGGTACATACATTTGTCAGTAACGAGAACGCCGCATCTCTAAGAGTTGCGCTCGCTGTCTGCATTATTTTCTGTCAGCTCTCCGAAATGCTGTCTGCTTCTTCCACATTACCAGCGATGTGAACCGCGGAAAATGATGAGGTCTAGTGCGAAAAGTTTATGTGTGCCATTTTTTCTAGTAAACGTTGTGTACTGCCGACTCATTTGTGAACCGCGTGATGCCCATCCTTACATGGTCACGTGTCAGGTCACGTAGAGCTCCAGAGCGTCCAGGAAGAGCCGAAACTTCACTCACCGATATCGTCAGAACAACCATCGGTCAAACGTATTCTGAAAGTAGTGACACGAAATGCGAAAAACCTAGAAATAACTGATCCAATTTTCTGCAGTTCCATGCAGCAGTAAAAACGGATCACTTTCGGATCTTCCGAGTACCAAATTATGTACTCTAGACTTCCGAGTACCAATTTAAGTACTGTATTAATTTACAGGAGAAGAGTACAGTAGAACAAATTAGGTTCATGCGAACTGCCGCAGTACGAGGTTAAAGTTTCTCCAAAACCAAAGTTAAAGCTTCATTTTTATTAAAGAATAACATACCAGAACAACCGGAAAATTAAACGCAATCATTCTAATTGTGAACTGCACTTTCATAGTCATAACTGCATTTTCAAATGCCTACTTTTGGGCATATTTCGGCACAAAAGAGTCATACTCAACCCAGAAATTCTGCTCTGGATTTTTATAAAATCAGTATTTGCAATGACGAATAAAACTTCGTCACATTAACCGTGGTGATAAAAAGCGATTCTCATGTGCATTTAACACCTAAAGTTCTTCCAGGCCTTTTTTGTATTCGTATAAAAATCACATTTTCCCCATTTATGAATGAAAAGCCTGTAATTTCCCAGCAGCGTAACCTAAAACCCCTGAAAGCTTATATTGCTTCCATGAACTTGATACAATTTTATCTCTATTACAGCCACGTTACGAAACGAAATAGATCCAAATCCAAATTTATTCGTATGAAAACAGGATTTTCGAAAAGTTTAATCGTCAGTAGCCGTAGAAGCATGAATTATTCATCGAAAAAAGCTGATTCACAGTTTCCGGACTGAAATGACAACAACAAGATTTGAGGTCATTGATTCATATGAACCAGATAAAACTCTGCTCACGAAAGCGGTGCACACTTCGAGTTTATTCGTCAATGCTCGGTATTTTGGGTAGTATGCGGTAGTACGGTTCAGAAGATACACATTGTAAGTTTTTCAATGCAGAAAAAGGTACTTTTTTAACCCTAATGAAATTTGTAACGGCTTGGCGACTTTGTGTACCTCACAATTCTACAAAGCGATACATAACCTTTAAAACGATCATTCAAGAGAGAGTTCAAGTTTTATAATCCAAAGTAGTAGTATTGGCTCACCACGCCTTGGATCTGAACGTTGCGTTTCGTGATTTGAAGAAGTATATCTACTCCAGGGTAATGATATCCGTAACGATTTGCGAGTTTTGGGTGAGAATGGTGCACACAGAACTAACAAGGCCTGCTAAAAATTTAGATAGGGAGTATGTTCCTGTAGAGAATGCTCTATTTGCCTCTTTTGTAATACATGTTTCTAGAAACAACTACGGTAGCTTCCTGAGACTTTTTAGAGCACTTTAAGAAAACTTCTATTTGTAATAAACCTTTTGATATGTCTGAGTTGTCAACCCTTATATACTCTTTAAGATAAGAATCTACCAAGACAGCAGGAAGTCATACACTTCATCTTCTCAATGTTAGCAATGTTTTAATCACACGCAAAATAGAATTTGGAAAGAGCATTTCAATTTAGAGATTCTCAGTTTCCAACACTAGATTATACAAGAACCGCATTCCCCAAGCAAAAATCTTCACCATATCCAATGTAAAAGTCTAAATGAGTACTTCCTACGATGTCCAGTATTTCCGAAATGGCGAAACTGTGTTTCCGTATTGAATCTCTTAAGTAAACTATGATTAAAGATAAAAGCATCTGATTACGTTCTACTCACTTCCATTTAAATGCGTAGAATATAACTTAGCGGAGTATCCGAGTGTAGAGGACTACCGTAACTAAACGAAAGTTATTCAGGTAGGAGAATGTATTCCTTGACATACCCCTCTACCTTTCAAAGCATATCTACGAAGTACTTGTTAGGAAAGCTTCCATGTCATATACGTCATCGACGTGGGTGGGCTTTATTTCTCAGAAATATACAGCAATGATTCTCGATGACTGCAAGCCAGTCAGGGCACTAGAGCCACAGTACTGTATTCTGAAAAAGGCAACAACCAATGCTCTTTGGGAATACGTGTGATCGTCATCATCAAAAGTTTCTAAACAATTAAATATGTGTTTTGAATGATCTAGGCTTTCATTTCTACAATTTCGCAATCAAATCGCATATTTAGCCGTACTCTTTTGAAAGTGTCCTTTTACATATTTCTTCAAAACTGGCTTCAACAATCATTTTCCTCCTGGATTATTGAAAGACAATCCCTTAACAGGAGGTTTAGGGGGATTTCAATTTTCAAAAATGTCAACTCAAGCAAGGAAGGGGAGAGGGAACAAAAAGGGGGGTGTGAATGCTTTTACAGACGGTCCCCTGCGCGAATCCTACGATCTGGTATCTACTGCCGCGAGCGCATCAACGAAAGCGAATGCGAAGTTAGCAAGACGAGTTCTGAAAGAGTACTGTGCTCTGAAAGGTGCCCCAGATCCACATCGCGTCACCCCAGAGAGCTCAAAACTCATTCTCAATCTTCTTGCAGATTACTGTAAGTTTGGAACTGCTGATGCTCTCAAGAATGACAGCATGGGAGCTCTGGCGCAGGGACTTCGACATGTCTATTGCGAACACGGGCACACGAAAACGTGGCAGGTTGACGAGTCTGCTGGTAAGGCAAGCGGCAACCCGCTGATTGGAAACCTTGATTTGCAGGCGCTGCGAAAGGCCCATCGCGTTCATTTGGCTCATCTAGGATTCGTTACGTTACGCTCTCGGCCAATCACAGCAGCCAATATCTGTGATTTGGCCGAAAAGTTTTGGTACGGGAGAGAAAAGGTAACCGCAGCACCTGACGTGCTCCTACATGCCATCCTCGTTGTAGGGTTGAATTTGGGACTCAGATATGATGAAATTAAGAAGTTGAAAGTCGAAAACGTCTCTGTTGGGTCTGGTGGCTGCACGTTGACGTTGCTTGAATCAATTAAGAATTGAACTGTGCATAGAACGTACCAGCTTCGCGATTGGTTCGGGAACTCTGCCTTGCGGTTCTCATACTTTATGGATCCATTCTTAGCATTGTACTCGTGGCTGACACTTCGTGGAAGTAGCCCAGGGCCTTTATTTTGCGATGTGAATGAGACAAGAAGTGGTTGGGTCATTGACACCAAAGCACCGTGGAGTTCTAAGAAATTCACCGAATTCTTCCGAGGTCGCTTGTCATCAATTGGTGTCGGATCGGGTGATTTGGGTATGTACTCCGGACATTCAATCAAAAGAGGTTCAGTCCAGCTGTATCGAGCCCTAGGGCTTCGCGATGAAGCAATTATGGAAATAATTCAGATGAGTGGATATCAAGCGTATGCCAACTATTGCGCTGCCTACAACGACTGTGCTCCGCCAGAGCTTCCTCGCTTTAATTCAGTCCAGGAGTATGTACGTCATGCTAAAACTATTTGCGAAGAATCTGAGCAGATATATGAGAAGGAGGACTTTGCAAAGTTTCTTGAGCACGTCCATACTGGTCTCAGTTCAAACGATGTGGACAAAACTTTCAGTTAGTCTAGTGAAATGTTTTCGTCGAGTACAATAAATAATCTGGTACTTGATTTATGGATCATAGTTTTCTGTTTTAATGAGATATAAGTGATCGTCTTAATAATTTCAGAGCGAGGAATAACCAACAGACCCACACGACAAAAAATGGAGAGACGAGGGTTCGTGCGTCCGATCCAAGGGGGTGGAGAAGGTGCCGGATTCAAAGCCCCTAGACAAATCCTGCAACTTGAACCGGAGATTGGTATGACGATCAGTAAGGAGATATTGCTTTCGTCGGGTAACACTAATTCTGTCGGCAAATCGAAAAATCAGGGAAGCGATTCAGAGAATGAAGGACAAATTTATGCTGTTCAAGATGAGAAAATGAAAGTTTGGAAGAAAGAGCTACAGCAGAGACTATTTCTCTTGCACCAGAGAAGGAAGGAATCTTCTAGTGCGCTGTCGAAAAGAAATACGAGCGTACAGTTGTACGCCTCGTTGGAAGAAAACGCCGTGGAAGATGGAAGTAAAGAACCGTTGATAC